ATGGCACTAGGCCAGGGCAGGGGACCTGAAGCTGCACCCCCTGCCCAGTGGAGCATTATGGGGACCTCAGGCCGCACCCCATGCGTTGCAGGACTTTAAGGAGGACCTCAGGCCACACCTCTAGTGCTGGGCTGGGGGACCTGAGGCTGTGACCCCGCCCCAGTGCCGGGCTGGGACCCTGTGGGTGTGCTAGGGGACCTGAGGCTGTGCGCCCTGCCCAGTGGGGCTAGACGGGGGTGGGGATGGCTAGGTCTGGATCTTGCCCAATGGGAGTGGGGCCAGCCGATTCTAGATCTTGTGCGATTTCAAGGTGCACATGGTGGGTGGGGACTTGACTCTGTGTCCCATGGCATGTCCCAGTCTCTGACAGGAGGAAGATTTTCATATACATTTTACTAATTTTATTTCATCTCTGACACTTCTATTATGGAGAAAGGGAAAATAGCAATATTAAAATATTTCCTCTAATTGATTCCCTGTTAATGTGCATGAATTTCATGCACTGGGCCACTAATAGTCAATAAGGGGAACTTAGGATTTGAATCCAGGTGATCTGGCTCCAGATGCCTTTTAATGAGTACATAATACCAACTTCTTCAAGTTGAGATTCAGTGTTTGGTAGAATGTATAGGTCTAAAGCTCAAGATGAAAGAGGAGAAATAACAACAGACCCCACCAAAATACAAAGGATTGTTAAAAAATACTATGAACAACTCTATTCCAACAAACTGGACAACCTGGAGGAAATGGACATATTTCTAGAAAAATACAACCTTTCAAAACTCAATCAGGAAGAATGTAAACATCTCAATAGACCAATAACTATGGAAAATCTGAAGTAGTTATCAAAAAACCTCCAGCAAACAAAAGCCCGGGGCCAGATGGCTTCACAGGGGAGTTTTACCAAACATTCAAGGAAGAACTAAAACCTATCCTCCTCAGACTATTCCAAAAAAATTCAAGAGGAAGGAACACTTCCAAACTCCTTCTATGAAGCCAGCATCACCCAGTACCAAAACCAGATAAAGACAACAAAATGAAAGAGAATTATAGGCCAATATCACTCGTGAACACAGATGCCAAAATCCTCAATAAAATTCTAGCAAATCAGATCCAGCAGTACATCAGAAAGATCATACACTATGATCAAGCAGGATTTATCCAAGGGTTGCAAGGATGGTACAATATCCTCATGTCAATAAACATGATAAATCACATAAACAAATAGGTAAAAACCACCTAGTTATATCTATCGATGCAGAAAAAGCATTTGACAAAATCCAACACCCTTTCTTGATAAAAACTCTCAGCAAGGTTGGCATAGAAGGATCATACCTTAACATAATAAAAACCATATATGACAAACCCATAGCCAACATCATACTCAATGGGCAAAAATTAAAACCATTTCCTCTAAGAACAGGAACAAGATAGGGATGCTCACTCTCACCACTCCTGCTTGACATAGTACTGGAAGTATTAGCCATTGCGATTAGGCAAGAAGAAGAAATTAGAGGCATCCAAATTGGAAAAGAAGAAGTAAAACTGTCCTTATTTGCAGAGGACATGATATTGTACATAAAAAACCCTAAAGCCTCCATCAAAAAATATTAGACTTAATAAATGAATTCGGCAATGTAGCAGGAATCAAAATTAACACCAATAAATCTATGGCATTTCTATACACCAGGAGTAAACTTACAGAAAGAGAAACTAAAAAAATCCCATTTATCATTGTACCAAAAAATTAAGATACCTAGGAGTAAGCTTAACTAAGGAGGTAAAAGACTTATACGCAGAAAACTACAGGACACACACACACACACACACACAAAGCGATAGAAGAAACCATAAACAGATGGAAGAACATACCATGTTCATGGATTGGTAGAATCAACATCATTAAAATGTCCATACTACCCAAAGCAATATATAGATTCAATGCACTCCCCATCAAAATACCAATGGCATATTTCAAAGACCTAGAAAGAATTCTCCAAAAATTCATCTGGAATAAAATAAAATCCCCAAATAGCCACAGCAATTCTGAGAAAGAAGAACAAAGTAGGTGGGATCTCAATATCAGATTCCAAGCTGTATAACAAAGCCACTGTTCTCAAAACAGCGTGGTATTGGCACAAGAACAGACATATAGACCAGTGGAATAGAATAGAGAACCCAGATATCAAGCCAAACCTGTGCTCAATTAATATTTGACAAAGGAGGCATGAACATACAATGGAATCAAGACAGTCTCTTCAATAAATGGTGTTGGAAAAATTGGACAGATACATGCAAAAACAAACAAACAAACAAACAAACAAAAAAAACAACCAACAACAACTAGATCACCAACTTACACCATACACAAAAATAAACTCAAAATGTATAAAGGACTTAAACATAAGACAGGAAACCATAAAAATACTAGAGGAATCCACAGGCAAAGAAATCTCAGACATATGCCAAAGCAATTTCTTCACCAATATCACTCCTAGAGCAATAGAAACTAAAGAGAAAATAAACAAATGGGACTGAATCAAAATAAAAAGCTTTTGCACAGCAAAAGAAACCACCAATAAAACAACAAGAAAGCCCACTGTATGGGAGAACATATTTGCAAATGTTATCACTGATAAATGTTTAATCCCCAACATCTATAGGGAACTTATATAACTTAATAAAAGGAAAATAAACAATCCAATAAAAAAATGAGCAACAGACCTAAATAGACACTTTTTGAAAGAAGACAGAAGGAAGGCCAATAAACATAGGAAAACATGCTCAAAGTCACTAATTATCCGAAAGATGCAAATCAAAACAACGTGGTATCATCTCACACCTGTCAGAAGGGCAATCATCAACAAATCAACAAATGACAAGTGCTGGCGAGGACGCAGAGAAAAAGGAACCCTAGTGTACTACTGGTGGGAATGCAGACTGGTGAAGCCACTGTGGAGAACAATATGGAGTTTCCTCAGAAAACTAAAAATGGAACTCCCATTTGACCCTGTGATCCCACTTCTAGGAATATACCCCAAGAAGCTAGAAACACCAATTAGAAAGGATATATACACCCCCATGTTCATAGCAGCACAATTTACAATAGCTAAGACTTGGAAACAGCAGATGAGTGGACTAGAAAACTGCAGTACATCTACACTAGGGGTGTCGAACTCAATCAGAGAAGGGGCCAAAATCTAAAATCCAGCCTAAATCGCGGGCCGAATGGTTTACTGAACAGTCATAAACTGTCATTGTGATGGAAACGCAGCGGAGTGCAGTGATGACAGCGTGGTGCGGGCCACATTGCAAGGGCTGGCGGGACGGATTTGGCCCGCGGGCCTTGTGTTTGACACATGTGATCTACACAATGGAATACTACGCTGCTATAAAAAAGAAAAAATTCTTACCATTTGCAGCAGCATGGATGAACATGGAAAGCATTATTTTAAGTGGAATAAGCCAGGCAATGAAAGGAAAATACCACATGATCTCACTCATTTATGGAAAATAAAGAACATTATAACCTGATGAACAAATAGATAGATATAGAGTCAGTAAAGTACTGAACGGTCTGTGAAATTACAGCGGGAAGCTCGGGAGTGTTGGGGGTCGGGGGTGAGAAGAGATCAACAGAAGGACTTGTATGCATGCATATAAGCACAAGCAATGGACACAAGACACTGGGTGGGGTGGTGGGATGAGGGCATGTGAAAGGGGGTAGGGGAGCCTAGGGGGAGGTCAATGGGGAGAAAAAAAGAAGATATATGTACTACTATATGTAATACTCTAAACATTAAAATTAAACACACACACACACACACACACACACACACACATACACACACACTTCATTCTTTACAATTGGAGACACATGGATTGGTTGTCCCCTGGTGATTGAACCTTCAACCCAGACACATGCCTTGACTGGGAATTGAAGCCATAATGCTCTAACCAAAACCACCAGGGATTTTTTCCCTTTCTTTTATTATTAAAAAAATGTTACAAATAATTATTTGATCTTACACACCTTGCTTAAGTAAACACATATAACACAGCACACCAATTGTGGAATAAATGTGGATTCAAGGGATCCACCAATGAGCCCTGTGGATTCAGAAGCACAATAAATTTGGAGAGAGCTTACCAAACTCAAAATTCTAGGTCAATCTACTCTTGTGGTGGACTCTACTGGAACTGGATTTTAGTTTTACCCTGAATATAGCCAGCATCTTGACCTGAAGCAATCGGTGGGAGAATAGAAGGATAACATGACCTGGCTCTGGTTAACATCTACATGAATTTGCTTTGATGTAAGGATTCTGTTTCCAGTATAACATTTTGGTCCCACACTATTGGCTGGTTCTTGCAACACTTGAGTAGTCCAATTTACCTTGGTGTTTTCCAAACTTCACCGAACTCCAGTGAAATTTATAATTTTTACTACAAGGTTGCAGAGCCCGTTGTATATGATCTGGAACCATTTCCCTAACTGTTCACTTCTTTCTGTTATACTGTATCTGCCCACTTAGAAGACAGCTTCGGAATATCTGGGAAATCCTGTGCATGGACAACGTGTGAACTCACATCTCCCACTTCCACTTTTTCCAGTCCCTAAGGCTGGGGATCCCCAAATCACTGCTCAGTCACCTGAAGCACCTGACCTAGAGGCCACGCCCTCCTCCTCGCCCCATGAAGCCGGGTGGGGGTGGGGGGGGCGGTGTCTGCCTCCTTTGGCTCCTCGCAGGCGCTCGCTCCTCGTCCCACTCTGGTCGCGAGGCCATTTCCAGCACCTTCACGCCCTGGCCCCGCCCCCTCCCACTCCCCAACGTCCTTGGCGTCGGGCTCGAGCCTGCGCCTGCGCGTGCGCCCTGGGGCCGAAGTCGGGGAGCGCGGTGGCCGGGAGGCTGAGAGTGGCGGGCGGCGCAGCCAATGGGAGGCGGCGATGGCCAGCGGCTGCGAGGCGGGGCCTGCGCGGGTGTTAGGTTCGCGCGAGGCGTGACCCAGTTGACAGGCTCTGGAGGGGCTGCCGTGGCGGCGGAGTCCGCGGGGCTGAGGCGGGCGGGTGGGAGCCGAAGCCGAGCGCAGGCTACGGGAGGCGGGCGACGACTGGAGGGCTGCGAGCTGCGGCGTGGGACCCAGAGCCCTGTTCACTTTTCCCTCCCAGCCCTCCCACTCCACACAACCACCCTGTTTGCCCGTGAGCCTGGGGAACTTGCAGCTTAAAGCCAGCCACCCCCACGGCAACATGTACCCCAGCAACAAGAAGAAAAAGGTGTGGAGAGAGGAGAAAGGTAACGGCCTGCCGAGTCCTGGGGTGCGGGTGGGGATGGGTAAGGGGTGGGGGCGGGGGTCGGGGCTGCGTGTGCCGCGGTGCCCCCTGCCCGAGCTCCCGCCTCGCGCCCGCCCGCCCGCCCGGTGTCGCCTCCCTCGCGTGTCCGTGTGTGCACACCCGCGCGCCCCCCGGCGTGCACGCGCCGACCCCGGCACCTGCCGCTCGCGCACGTGTGGGCGCACGCCCCTCGCTGCCACCCGCCCACCCGCCCGCTGCGCCCGGTCCCCTCCCCGGACGGGGCTGCCTGAGCCTCCCTCGCGGCGTGGCACCCGCTCGGCGCCGCAGTCCCCGGGCCCCGCACAACTTCCCTTGGTTGTCGCCCACCCGGGCTCCGCACACTCCTGCTGGGACTCGCGCACGCCTGGCCGGCGGGTCCCACGGACACGTGCCCGCCCGCGGACACACCCGCTGGGGCCGCTGGTGTGCCCCTGCTTCCCCCTCGTTCAGGCACTCTGCGCCCCTGCCTACCACGCCCTCGGTTTGCAGAGTGTCCCCATCTTGGGGTGCAGATCCCTGCTTTTGGTCCCCCACTTTTGCACCGCAGGGTGCCTTGAAACCTGGAACTCTTCTTTGGGGAAACCTAAAACAAGCGTCTTATCCGTGAGGATGAGTACCATCAGAGGCATCTAAGTGGGGTTGTTTCTCAGCATTCCACCCCCATTGGTAGTGTGAAGTGGCTCAGAGGAAGGGTGTGAGACTGGTGTCACTTTCTGTGAATGAACCCACCGGACTAATGAGCATGGCAAGGCTTATCCAAATCTCTGAAAGGGGCATTGATTTCTGTAAGATACAAAAGGGGGAAGGAAAAAAAACGCAGAGGAGAGGAAAGGGAGGGAGCGGATAGGCGAGGCGAGGAGCGATAGGAGAGGAGAGGGGAGCGGGCGAGGCGAGGCTCTGAGGAGGAAGGGAGAGGAGCGAAGGAGCGGAGAGGAGAGGAGAGGGATAGGATCAGTAGCGCTCTCGCTGAGAGATCCAGGCGCGAAGGATACGACTAGCGCCACGAGAGTAGCTCGCTAACTAGCGACGCTTCTCAGCACTCAGGTTTAGCAGGTCATTCGCGATCTCTTCTTTCTCTCCGCCTTTCTCTCTCTCTTCTCTTCTCTTCTCTTCTCTTCTCTTCTCTTCTCTTCTCTTCTCTTCTCTTCTCTTCTCTTCTCTTCTCTTCTCTTCTCCTTTCTTCTCTCTTTTTTCTTTCTTCTCTCTCCTATCTCAGGCATTATAGTTAGACAATATTCTGAGGTAAAACTTGAAACTCTGGAGTTTTCTTTCTTCTTTTCACTCCTTTTTAAGCTTTTTTTTTTTTTTTTTTTTTTTTTTTTTTACAAAACTGAAATGAAAAGTACTTACATTGCTATCTGCTGAGATATACTAAACCGGTATATGGAGTGAGGTCGAGTGAGGGTAGTGCACATTTCTCCTAAGTATCCCATCTTCTTTATAAAAGAGGGATATGGAGTGACTAGGTTGAAAGTTGATTTCCTTGATAATGGTTCTCTACAACATATAGATTTTTATTGCAAGTCCTGGCCTCTGTAAACACCTAGGCAAATAGTGGAAAAGAAATGTGGGAAAAGGATCCTCTGTATAGAGGCTATTTCAACAATGTACAAGAAAAGGGAATTGTTTTTCTGATTAACTACTGGGAAGATTTCATATAACAACTGAACAACTGGTTAAAAGGGTTTTTAAGGTATTAAAAGAGTAGGTTGTATGTTATTTAATTATGTTTTAATGATTATGATCATATATAGAAGTAAAAATTCTGTTGTTGCAAAACAAATGCTGTTGAAAACAATAACCTGATATATAAAGTAGTGTGAAATAATTGTTTTGTTTTTGCAGTAGCAATTGCATTACTTTCAACAAGGGTTTACTTTGTAAGCACTGAAAAATCATTTATACCCATTTTTGATGGTCTTGAAATGTTAGCTTTGTATTATTGATAATCATGAAGGCAAGATAATGAAAGATATGGAGATTGATTTTAATACATGAATCATTAATGAAATTATAGTGATTACTTAAGAACTATTTTTTTCTGTCATAATTGACAATGTTCCTGAACAATGATATTATAATTCTTCCTTCATTTAACATCTACACAGTTGAACTGTGATTAGCAGGCTTTTTAGAATCTTCATTGTCTTAATTCTTAGTTTGCTACTAAGAATTATTAGAGAAAATATAACCAAATTAATATTTTCTAAATAAAGGAAGGCATTTAACAAAATACATTTATCTTGTCCAAACTATCTTATTTTTGTCTGAAGTTTAATATTAAAGGGAAAACTTATTGAAGACTTTATGTCTCTGTCTTATTAGGATATATATTTTTGAATAGTTAATATTTTAAAAATACATATTATACCATCAAGAAGGAGCTAAGGATTTTCCATACAGTAGTTAGTATTAAAGAAGCTGGTGGAATTCATGACCTTTTTCAATTTATTGCACTGGAGAGAATGGTATCATATTTTTGGAGCTGTTATTTAAATCTAAAGGCTTACCCGTAAACCTTATTGAAATGTCAAGGTATTGTATAAACATTTTAACTCAGTATACCATCTACTAAGTAGGTCTGCCTGCTTATATGCTTAACAAAGAAAGGATTTATTGCAAAGGTGAAGCATTCTTTAAGGAAAAGTTTTGTGTAATGCCAAAGAAACTATTTAGTATATGTTTAGCTTTCAGTGTGTCTCATTGTTTAAACAAATAACTAGGGAGTTCTCCACATATGTTAACTAGATGTTGTTGATCTAGTAATTTGAATCCTAATTCAAAACTACTTAATGTGATTTATAATGATTTATAATTTCAAGTACTGAAACTTAAATGATTTCATTGTTTTATCTTATTGTCTTATTATATAGGTTATATAGATCTTGTTTTGTTTTAACTATGCACACTTAAACTTTTAAATAAATGCAGTGACAAAGACTAGGTTGCATTCCCATGTGTACCTTTTGACACTTATTAAAACTACAGTTGTTTCATATATTTTAACCTGATTAGTGATGTTTCCATATTAGTGATCTGAGCTTTTTTAGTAGTGCTTTGATAAGTTCTAGTCATTCCTTTTCCTGTTGTGTGATTATTAAAATTTACTATCCCCTTCAAGCTTCCTATTTCATCAAGACCCTATCCTCCTACTACGCAGATAATATTGTCTTTTTTTTTTTTTTTTTTTTTTTTTTAATAAGAGAAAGTTTATTTAGGAGGCCATAGAGGTAGAAGTGAGTTTTAGAAGAAATGAGCTCAGGAAACAAGTTTCAGCAAAAGAAAAGGGCCCTTGGAACTTAGGAGACAGAGACAGGGTGGGGGTGCGGGTGAGGAGGGGAAGAGAGGGGTCCGGGGAGATATTGGGTCTTTAGAGAAGAGAGGAGAGGTTTGGGTGGAAAGGGAGAGGGAAAGAGAATGAATGAATGAGTGAGCACCTTACAAGCCCTGGAGAATGATGGGATTGGGGAAAGGCCTGGGTGTGCTCTGTAGAACTGCCAGAAGTTGCCTTTTAATTCATTGAGAAAATACATGTCATGTAACATAAACAACTGCATAGTATTATTTGTCTCTTTTTTCACAGGTTCTTTGTCTTTTCAGCTTTGTTTCTATCTTAAAGCACTTTTCTTCTCTGTTTCTAAGATTAACCCCTCTGTACTGTCACATCTCCTGAATTCATTCAGATCTTGTGCTATCATTTATCCCTTTCGGGTATGTTTAGTTTCTGATTGTCTTCAGGTTCCTCTCCTCAGCCTATATGAATGCTCAAGTTTCTTCTACCCAAAAGTAGCCTTCCTTTTGATATCATAGTAAATAATCTGGTTATTGATTGACAGAAAAGGAACAAAGGGAAGGCCAGATAATATAGGCATACCATTTATGCCAGGTAGCTGAAGGTCTGTTCCACTCGGAATGGACAAAGGAAAAATAGAATAGATGTATACTTAGTAAGGTCTGGGTGACGTAGGGAAGGTACTCAGTCACATTTGTGAACATGTCATTGGTCAGAATAGGTGTGGCTATTGCAGACTCGGGAAAATTTAATATACATGTCATATAACGTAAACAGCCGTTTCTGAACAAAGGAGCTCTCTCTCTTGCTTCTGGTTCTCTAGTCACAGGTGTACTCCATTGCATTTGCCCACATGGCTCACAGCTATGTAGAGCCCACACACAATGGAATGATGGACTACAATTAGTCTGATACTACACTGGACCAGATTCCACCATGGGATGGAAACTCTGGACACTGGCTTTGCTTTTAGCTCTACTGAATTCCTAGTTGTACCATTTCCAAGACTGGTTTAAGGGAAATGGGACTTTGCAAGCCAAAGGATGTAATTCCATGCAAATAGAGCTTTCTACTATAGTTCATCCTCCCTTGGGGGCCTCCGGGAATTCTTATTCCAGTGGTACCCCAAGAACCCCACACACACTGGCAAAGGAAAAGGGCAATCTATGCAATTCTCCCATAAAACTTTCATCTTGGAGTTTGCTATTTTCATTTATTTTTCTCAGTCTCTCATAGCCTCTTGGATCCCAGTTACACTCTAATAAAACTGGGTTTCTAAAGTCATTCTTTAATAACAATGATGATGGTATTAATACAAAATAGTTGCTGTTACTATTTGAGTCCTACTCATTACTTTTCTAGGTACTTTACCTGGGGTCTCATTTAATTCTAACAATACTCTGGGGTCAAGAGCTTTGTACACCATATTCATGGATTTGAACCCTAGGTATAGTGCTTTCTGTTTGTAACATCTTAGGTAAATTAAAAATCTCTATTTTAGTTGCCTCATTTGTAAGTTGAGAATAATACCTACCAACCTATCTCAAAAGGAAATTGAGACATAAGGAGCTTAAGTAACTCAAGATCACATAGATTTGCATGATTTGGCATAAGAACCCAGACCATTTTGTTCACCACTTTATTCTCTTTTCAGTGCTTTAAGTGATGCAGTTGATAAAACCAATGATTTATTAAATTTTATTGTTTCTGATCTTCCTGTAGCAATTGGTAATAGCTCTTCTCTTCTCCATATTAAAACTCTTTGCTGGTTTACACATCACTGAGACATTGATTCACCATGTGCCCCAAGTGACATCTAAACTTCATTTCATTTTAAACCTTTACTTATTTATTTATTTTTGTTTTGCTCTCCTCCCTTCACTTTTTGCAGGACTAGAAGTTTAAGTTATAATTTCCAAAATCTCTAGCTAGACTTCTCTCTTGAGTTCCAGATTCTTGATTTCAACTTGAATGCCCTTTAGTATCTTAAATCAATAGTGTTGACCATTGAGCATTGTAATATTGTGATTTGAATATATCCATCTGATTAAAATATGGCTTTTGTTGCTGTTGTTGTTTTATCTACTTATGTGGCTGAAGACTTCTAGGAGTGGGGAAAAATATTGGCTCCCTGTTTCTTCTTCACTTGTGTTTACATTAATACTTTCTGCAGTTTATTTCTTTGGAATAATTTTTCAAAGTTGTTATTTTGTGTTAGATTATCTAATGCTAGATTCTATCTTTAAATCCATCACTTAAAGTTTAATACTTTATAATATGCTGAAAGAAAATTGGAGAGGGAGAATACAAACTTTGGCAAAGTGTGTGATATAAGACAGTTGACTTACAGAATGAGTGAGGATGCCAGTATCAGTTTTTATATAGACTAGTAGTAATTTTTAATTTCTTCCTTATTTCTTTAGGTTAAAAAATATAAATATAATTGTATACATTTTTTTTCTTGTATCCTAGAGGATAATTTTTTGTACCTTCTTGGCTATGTATAATTAACTTTGAATATTAGTGGTATACATTATAGGATAAAGGTTTAACTGTTGGGCATGGTATACAAGTTCCTATACATTTTTATTTTAACTTTTGTTTGAAGCTACTTTTTACTTCAGTGGTCACTTCCCTTTTCATAGCATGTCTTGCAGCTTCATTAAACTATTCTTATCTCCTTATCTTTGTTTACATTATTCTTTAGTCTGAAATATCCTTTTTTACCTCTTCATGATAAAATTCTGCCTATTAGGAACCAACAGACACATCACCTCTTTTGGGGAGCTTTTCTTGAGAAGACAGTACAGTATAGTGGCAAATTGCAAACTCATTAGTCAACAGAGTCAAATATCAACAGTACAATGATTGAAATTTCTTTTGAGAGCCAAATTTTTTAAACTTAAACTTCTTCTAATGCCACTTCTTCAAAATAGACTCACCCCGGCCATGGTATTTTGTGGAAGAGCCACACTCAAGGGGCCAAAGAGTCGCATGTGGCTTGCGAGCCACAGTTTGCTGACCACGGGTATAGGCTGTAATTTCTAATGGAGATATCTGATTGGATTTCCATGGGAAATTCTCTTGCTTAGAACAGATTACTGAACTTTGATGTGCTTTATTTCCCTATCTGAAAATAGAGATACTCATACTATTTGTTGACTTGTTGAGAAGATTATTTCAATAAAATTATGTACGTGAAATACTTGGCACACGGTGAATTCTTTATAAATGACACCATTATTATCAATTCTAAGATGCATTTAAAAATATTTTAATCTTATAATCAAGATATATATTTAAAATTTTATTTATATCACTTCCAGACAGGTGTTATTAAATTAAAAGTACACTTTTATTGTTGATGGCATCTTCAAATTAAAATATCTTGGTGACTGCCTTTTTTGTGCTCTCAGCATCCTATCTAGTAATCTAATAAAAGAGTAATATGCAAATTGACTGTCACTCAAAGACACAAGATAACCACCCCCATGTGGACACAAAATGGCCACTACAAGACGTTTGGCGGGGAGAGCAGTTGTGGGCAGTTGCAGGGGCAGGCCTGCAGGGGAAGACAGTTGGGGGGGGGGGGACCCAGGCCTACAGGGGAGGGCATTTGGAGGTGACTAGGCCTACAGGGGAGGACAGGGGCGACCAGACTGGCAGGGGAGGGCAGTTAGGGGCAATCGGGCCAGTCAGGGAGCAGTTAGGTGTCGATCAAACTGGCAGTGGAGTGGTTAGGAGTGATCAGGTTGGCAGGCAGAAGCAGTTAGGGGCAATTAGGCAGAGGCAGGTGAATGGTTGGGAGCCAGCACTCCTGGATTGTGAGAAGGATGTCCCAGATTGGAGAGGGTGCAGGCTGTGCTGAGGGACAGGACCCTCCAACCCCCTGATCCCTGTTCATGAATTTCATACACTGGGCCTCTAGTTTAACTGTTTTAGGATTTAGTGTTTTATTTATGTAGCTGTTATGTTGTCTCATCCATTTCCTCTTTTTGTCTTGTGAACTTCTCAAGGTCAAGGATCTTCTTTGTATTTGCAATGTGTAAACATATCACCTGGTACACAGTAGACTGTCAATAGATGTTGATTGGAAGAGTTTCCTTATGTTTCTTCCCGCTAATATAGTGTTAATTTAACATCTTTAAACACTAAAAAGTAGAGTCATTAGATTTACATTTTGGTGTTTCTCAAGCCCACATTGATTCTTTTGGTAATTTAGCATGGTTAATATTTAAGTTATAAAATAATTCCTGATCTTAAAAGTTAAATACAAATGGAAGTTCTGCTTTTATTTTGCAAGAACGCTTACTGAAGATGACCCTAGAGGAAAGACGCAAAGAATACTTAAGGGACTATGTTCCCCTGAACACTATTCTATCGTGGAAGGAGGAAGTGAAGGGCAAGAGCCAAAATAATGGTAAGTTTCTCAGAATATTTTTCAGGTAGTTACAGTACTATTGCCTTTTTTTTTTTTTTATGATTTCTGCTGGACAATTTTTTTGCAAAAATGAATAACAGGCATTCAATAAAGATGACAGTTTTTCTATTTTAAATTATTGTCATTTGTCAGTTAGTTATTTTTAACAATTTATTATATGTTGTTTAAATTTAGAAAATTATTATTTTTAATTTAAAAAAAAAATCCTATTCCTAACCTCAACCCTAATCATTCTAAAATACACCACGATTATATTATGGTACTCCTTTATGGGTACTATAAAAAATTATTTTGCAGTGGTTTTTGGAGCAAATGATACTAGAGATTATGGTGTGGCCCTTTGAGTTTGTTTTGATTAGGTTTATTTATATTGGATTTCTTTAATTTTATTTTAAAGATTGGATAGATTTCAAAGATTTCATCAAAAAGAATAGAGGAAAACAAAATAACATTTCACATAATTTTAGAGAAGAGTATACAGGGTATCCTTAAAAAATGTATATATACTTTAATAGTTGGTAGCTCAATTTTGAAAATGAAACACATTTTTATAAACACTGCCTTTATAATTATTCAAAATGTGTTTATACATTTTTTTGGGGGGGTAACTATTTTGTGTGGTCTGGCATTATATCTACATATAAAGTATTTGTATGACAAATTTACTCTTTTTCAAACTTGTTATGATTTAGAGTCTATATTGTTTGAGGGAAAATACAGTATATTTATTAGAATATAAATGAAATTTTTAGTATTACAAAGGTTTGTGAAATATAAAATTCTAAAAACAACGTAATAAATTTAGTGTATATTTAATATGTTTATCTCTGAATTAACATTTATTAGTGTTTATGGTCTGAATGTCAAGTTTAAAAGAAATAGGGTGCTTTTTAGGATATGTAACAGTTGAGAAACAAAGGTAATTTTACAAAAGGATATTGGAGCATGCTGATTTCACAATTTGTAGTCTTTGATGAAACTATACAGGATATTATGGCCCAGAATAAGGAGTTTCTATGGACAAAATTTGTGGAAAGTAGCAGCCAAATTAAGCTTTAGAACCTGTGAAGAATTTTGTTTTTCTAGGAAGGCAAATCATGTGGGTTCTTTTAGACCTTTCTCTGCCTGGAAAAGTGTGCTCTTGGGCAAGTGGGTAGTGTATTTACTCCTAGTTTTAATGGGGGTCATTAGCTGATTGGGATGTATAGATCTGACCTTCTTGCCCAGTGTTTTAAGTAAATGCAAGTTATTTTAATGATAGTCTAATCAAGACATCATTGAAAGAGTAGGTAGTGCTGTGTAATGAAAAGAATACAGAGCTTGAGATCAAAAGGACAGAATTCTGGGCCTTCTCTGACCTAGGGCTATGTGCCTCTTAATGTTTGGGTCTCAATGATTTCTTTTGTTTATATGAAGCTGGAATTGAATACTTCAGCTTTACTTTTTATGCTAATAAACCTCTCTTTTCCCTGTGCTTCATTCATCTGGTTTTCTTTCTTGGGCACAGTTTTAGCTGGTCAGTTTTCTAAGGATACAGTACATGGTGTTCTTTTAAAGAAAATTTTGACTTCTGAGATAGAGGTAGATTCCTTTTGCTGCCACAACAATTGACAAAAGCAGTAGTGAAACCCAGGCTGCATTGCCCAAGGTTAGCTTAGCTCACCTTTGCAAAGAGGCTTGGCCTTTATGTTGGCTGCTCCTACTTAAACATTCAGCATGTAACAGTGTAGGGTTGAACTGGGTTATTAAGAACTCAGTATCGGATGTTTATAGAGACACTGCACACCAAAATATGTCCCCCAATCAGATAAGATGCATTGAGTAACATCTGATGTTGTTATTCCCAAACAAGATCCGGTGTATTTATTTAATCCTATTTCCCAATATGAGTGTTATAGGTGTCTTACAACTGCTCTATCTATTTCAGTTTTTTCCTTCATGCTTTTTGAAAATGACAGGCCTTCATGGGGAACTAGGTGATATGATCAAAATTGTATTTCTATTAAGTAGTGCTTTATTCCCTTCATTAAATGTTATTTGGTCCTCTCTGTTGTGATATAGAAATTGATGACTGGCCCCTTCTTTTTTCATGAAACAAAATGGCTCATTCTACATGTAATATCTGTTAATTTATTTATATAATATATACTAGAGGCCAGATATATGAAATTTGTGCAAGGGTAGACCTGCCTTCCCCCAGCTGCCAGCTTCAAGGCCCTGTGGCCCCGGCCCCATGGCCCACCCATACCCGCCTTGGCCCGGCACTGACCTTGTCCACCGCCAAATATCCCTGGTTCCCTGGTTCCACTGAACCCCTCTCCCCCCACCCTGAATGATTGCCTGCCAGCTGGTGGCCTGGGCCTCCCTATGTGGGGCGATCATGTGGTAATGGCGGGCCTGGCACCAGTGCTTGTGATAGTGTTGTCATCTATTCCATCTTTATTATTATAGATGTTTTCTAAGTGCTTTCTTCTAGTGTTATGTATCTAGTTTTAGATAACTAAAATATTGGTCAAAATTTTAGTATTTTTACAGTTTGGAAGATCTTTGAAAAATATAAATTCAAAAAATCAAAGGGCAATTATAAATATAGTTACATTTTTATATTTTATTTTGAAACGTTTAAGCTTATGAATTAACTGCTTATAAATGTATATGTATCTGTGTAGGTCTTGATATTTGTAGCTTTATTTTTTAAATATGAGATTTAAAACTAAGTTTTAAAGGAAGATAATTTATAATTCTTTGTCATATATTTTCTTTTAAATTTAGTAGTTTATTATTATTTTTGTTTTTATAGAAGTTCTTTTGGTCTTGATATTTATAATTACATGGAAACTTCTAAGCTGTTGTTTTAATTTTTCTGTTTTACTTTGCTCAGTTTTTTTTTCTTTAATTAAATGCTTCTTGTTATATTGTAATAGAAAGTTTAAAAAGGAATGGAGAGACTGAATTTTTTGGTTTCCTTTTATTAAACGTTCTAATAAAAGGAAACCAAAAATTACAAAACAATGTAAAATCAATGTTTGTGTAGAAAGGAGGAAGCAAGTAGATAATACAGGGTGGGACAAAAGTATGGAAAATAATCCTATATAATAAAACCCTAATATGCAAATTGATCGAACAGCATAACAAACTGTCACTATGACATGTACTGACCACCAGGAGGCAGATGCTCAACGTAAGAGCTGCCCCCTCGTGGTCAGTGTACTCCCACAGGGGAGTGCCACTCAGCCAGAAGCCGGGATCACAGCTGGCAAGTGCCTCTGCTGTAGGTGGCTGGTAAGGAGCGAAGGGTTCCAGACTGCAAGAGCCTTGGACTGGGGAGATCGGGTCTAAGCCAGCAGGCGGACACCTCCCAAGGGGTCCTAGACGGCAAGAAGGTGCAGGCTGGGCTGAGGGGCACCCGCCACCTCAATGTGCACTGCGTCTCTAGTAATTAACACATTGTGGAGCAATAGTTTTTTTTTTTTAATATGTGTGTGTGTATATGTGTGTGTGTGTGTGTGTGTGTGTGTGTATTTTTTAAAATATATTTTATTGATTTTTTACAGAGAGTAAGAGAGAGGGATAGAGAGATTGAAACATCGATCAGAGAGAATCATCGACCAGCTGCCTCTTGCACACCCCCTACTGGGGATGTGCCCGCAACCAAGGTACATGCCCTTGACCAGAATCGAACCCGGGGCCTTTCAGTCCGCAGGCCAACGCTCTATCCACTGAGCTAAACCGGTTTCGGCGATATATATATATATGTTGATTTCAGAGGGGAAGTGAGAGGGAGAGAGAGAGAAACATCAATGATGACAGGGAATCATTGACTGGTTGCCTCACACATGCCCTCTATGTACCCTTGACTGGAATCAAACTCGGGACCCTTCAGTCCACAGGCTGACGCTCTATCCACTGAGCCAAACCAGCTAAGGCGTGGACTAGTAGTTTTATTGCTAACTTTACTAGTGGCCAGATAAATTTTCTATTGAAAAATACAAAAACGTTTTACATAAATGTTAAAGGCACGCTTTAAAGTTAAATATCCCTTGCATTTTGAAGTTAATTACATATTCTTACAAGCTAATATCTTCTTAAAGTATAATACTTCGTAAAACACTATAATATGAAGTGAGAGTTCTCATGATCCATCCACAATGTGTTAATAGATAATAATATAAGAATAAACCATGTTTTGCTTATTGACAACTGTAAACCTGCTTTTACTGCAACGTATGTTCACATTGACATACTACTTTGATAGTATTGGAAAGCTATGGATCAGAAATGGTAAGTAATGGGAGGTGATTACTAAAACAGAAATCCATTTGTTTATTATTCATGTTCATATTTATCAATACTATTAGTAAATCTCTGGAATTATATGCTTCTAATCACTTCTTCTGTATTAGCAATTATGTAATAATTCTCTTTTATTTGTCAGTTGCTTTGTTGTAGGGAATTTAAAAATTCTCATCTCTCCTATTATATTGTGTCTCTAGCACTTGAATAGTGCATCATGAATAGGTATGCTCAATTAGTATGTTATATAAGAATATCTCAGAGGTTAACAGGCTACAAAGGGCAGTTCTTTTTTTCCAAAATTTTTTTAAACTTTAAAATGAGCATTTAAAAACATATAAAAACTAGGAGCCTGATGCATGAAATTCGTGCAAGAGTAGGCCTTCTTTCCCCTGGCTACTGGCATCAGCTTCCCTCTGGTACCCAGGACCCGGGCTTCCCTGACAACACCATCTTCGTCCGGAAGGTTGTGCAGTCTGATTAGCATATTGCGCTTTTATTTTTATAGATAGAGAGTATAATGAATCTTTATGCACCCATTACTCAGTTTCAACAGTTAATATGTGGCTAATTTTATTTCACCTATACCAGTGTTTTTCAACCTTTTTTGGGCAAAGGCACACTTGTTTCATGAAAAAAATCACGAGGCACACCACCATTAGAAAATGTTAAAAAATTTAACTCTG